GACCCTGCTTTGGCAGGGGGGTTGGACTAGATGATCCCCAGAGGTCGTTTCCAACCCCTACCATTCTGTGATTCTGTGAACTTCTTAAACCTTACATAATATGAGTGCTCTGAATAGAGTAAGTAGCACCGTTGAGTAGTAGAGCAAATTTGCTAGCATAATATTCTTGTTCAGTCTGATAAATCAAGTCAAGGGGCAAGGTATATTGTTCTTTTAATTCCAAACTCAGTCTTTTTGAATTTCGGAGCACAAAATGGAGCTCATTGCTCAAGTTTTTCCCAAAGTAGAGTTTGTGTGGCACATAAGGTAAGGACATAACAATGCTGTGATCCTGTAATTTGTTGGTATGGTTAGCTAACGTGTCACAGTTTGTGGGTACATCTATTAAAGATCCTTGGAATATATAAATAGCCCTTCTTCAGGTACACAAAAAGCTTTCAATCTGTGAAATGTTTTAAATTGTTGATTTGCCTTTACGAGCTATTTTTAGTGTATTCTAGTATTATGATGTTATGTTAAGCATACAGTATTTCAGTTTTCATCTTTATAGTTACTAACAGAATGAATATCTAATTCCAGTGAAACTTTAGTAGTAGTTTATGCTGATATAATGTTTGTGCTTTGTTAAAGGCTACTGCTGAGGGACAACAGAGTGAAGATGAATTTCCATCTGGTGTTGATCTCAACGACCCATACTTTGCCGAAGAACTTGAGAAAACAGGTGGGTCAGGACAGTTTTGGAATAAATCTGCCTTTTCTTTAAATAATAGGCTTTAGAAACAAAGTTGGGCTAGACGAAATGCAGAGGTAGCGTGGTCGGAATGAAATAAAGTGGGTGTCATTTGCCAAAAATTGCAGATGCTGTTCTTGTAAAATGATACATATTGTGACATGAGGAATGGTAGGGAACATTGTTCTCTTAGCTTTCATCAGAGACCATTATTTAAACAATTTCTAGGGATGGCTATTAGAAACAGGCTGACCATCTGCTCCCCTAAATATTCCAGGGAAAAGAACTTGCCTTCAAAGCCTGTTTCCTTTTATGTAGGAGGAGCCAGATATGTATGGGTCTCCTTGAAGTTTGGGTAATTATGTAAATATCGACTGGTTTTGCATCATAAACGAAGTTGTCTTTCAGAAGAAATCAATTTTCTTTTTTCTTAGTCTGATACACATTTTTACTAGTGTACTCTGGCTGCCTAGAAACCCAAATAGTGAAATGTAGTATTTTAGGAAATAACTTGTCCAGTTTAGATTTTTAGGATACTTTTTTTTGTAAGCTTTTTAGTCTGATGTGAAAGTTAACTTTTGCTGTGTTAACAGCAAATTTATTTTGAGTATGATTTTGATGGTTAAAATTTTAAGGTAAGGATAATCAATAGGTGTGAGTTCCTGGTTTTCCATGCTTTTGGGAGCCAAAACCTAAGGGTGGCTCATACTATTGCATATTAAAAGAAGAAAAAAAGGCATGAAAAAAAGAAGTAGTAAGAAAACAAGCAAACAAAAATAAGATAGTGACAGATTTACAGATATCACCAGTCTGTTATTTTGGTTGGTTTTTTTAGTATAGCAGTGCAGATCGAAGTTGCATTTAAAAAGAGTAAACTGCTTTTAATTTGATACCAGCCAGCATAGCCTTCTGTCCTGATTGTTAGAAGTTTTAATTAGGAGAAAGTAAATCATTAAAACCTTGACTTCTTTGTGTCTTAATGTGCTTATGTATATGTCTTAATAGTCTAAAGTGTAGAACACTAGGGTAAGTCCTATCCGTATTTTGTAGAAAATACCACAATTTAAGGTGTCATGCAGTGATGTTTTCTGCCATGCTTTCCATCATGCAGTGATGTTTTCTGCAGTGTTTTCCTGGTGAGTTGTGTATAGGTTAGTTTAGGACTCACTGTAAAGATGCCATTCTTTCCACCACTTTTTTATTTTAATAGGAGGGTTATAAAGGTATTCTCATACTGATGTTTGATGTTTTGATGTTCTGTGTGAAATATCTGAAAAAAACTGTTTTCTCCTGTATTACGTACGAAACTCTTTGTGTCATGGTGGGGCTCAGCAGGGAACGATCGTATCTGCAGATTCCTAAACCTTCTTGTCCATAATATAGAGGACAGGCTTTTAGTGTGTATGGAGTCTTTGGGGACAGTAAAATAGAGATAAACGTTAAGAAAGTGAAGTTATTGCCTGCAAGATTACTGATAAGCTACTAAGAAAGAGGCAGAAGACAGAATGCTTCTAGCCCTGGAGAAGTTTTAAAGGGAGAGTACAGTGGTTGGCTGAAAGCCAGATGACATTTTAACGATGATTACACAGCACAACTTTGTCTGCCTTTCACCAAGTTTACCCAGAACAGCCTCTGTCTCATAGCTGGGATAGGTTTTAAGCACAGCTAGCTTATTCAGTTGGGGAAAATGGGTTACAGTCTTCTTTGAACTAGACTGTAGCTCTGCCAACTTTGTATTTAGGGTACAGGCAGTAGTAACTTGAATGATCATAATTTTTCATAAGCCTTCCACAATTTCCCTGAAAGATTGAAATTTCTCCCTTAAACTGTCAGAGGACCTTAGATTATGCTGATAAAGCATATGACAGGATATGTCTACAGACTCAGGTGGACCAGTGCAGAAACTGTGAGGGTGCAGTAGTGCTTGTTAGGGTTTTGCAGTGGTGTATTTGCTACCATGCTGGATTCGCTTGTTGACTGTAATCTGGGTCTTGTAGAAGTCAGTTTTTGACAAGATGAGGCAACTGAAGGAAAGCAGGAGTGTAAGGAGCTGTCAGACAAACAGCCTAACAAATCTTACTGTGAAAGGAAAACTGGAAATTATGGGAAGTCTACTCAAGCCTATATTCATCAGGTTTCTCTTTGTTCCTGAAAGCTGTTTGTAAAGCAGGCAGTGATTCTTACACTGTGGATGCCTCATCATGGGAGAGGCAAAGTAGTGCAAATTCTTTGTGCCTGCTGTACCCGAAGAGTGTCTGTGCAGGATGCAGGTGTGTGCATATTAGCACTCCTGAAATTCATGACAGTGCTTGCCTTGCACAAAGTTCTCATATATGCATGATCCCTATGTGGCTTTTCAATAGTACCACGGGCTAAAATGTAAAATGCTGCATATATATGAGCCTTAATGTTGTATTTCAGAAGCTTGATTCTAGTTAGATATTGTCAAGAAAAAAATCATTTGTCACTTCTGTTTTACATTGATGCACATGTTTTTTCAAAAGGTGTTGTAAAACTTTCATTTAGCTCAGCCAGTTTCAGTCTTACTGCATCTGTTTCTGTGAGGTCTTAGAAAAGGTTCACATAGGACAGAATGATTTTTGTGGCTTTTACTGTTGGAAGATTAGTAGCTGAATAGTGTAATTGCTCATTAACATGAGAGCAGTGTCCTGTTTTGGAGATCATTGAATAGTTTCAGAACGCTGTAGACTATTAAACGTAGTTTCTATTGATCCTCTGAGGAAAAGGGCTGCATGCCTTTACACGTTATTGTAACTCCTATAGGTTCTCATGATCTAATTTACTATCTGTGTAGGAACTGATGACTTTTTAATACTGCAAGGTAGCAGCAGTATGACTGCAGGGATGTAAGAGGTTAACAGCAAAATCTGAATATAATTGTAGAACCTGTACTTGAAAGATAAAGATCTTGGCTGTATTTATGATTCATTTACTTTGTGTCTTTGCAAGGCTTTTGAGACTAACTTTCAAGCTGAAGTGGTCTTGTGAGAGGAGTTTTTGGGCTGAGGTTAGTCTCTGTATTTGAAGCCTCAAATTTATCATTAGCCTTCTACTGTTAGCACTGGAAAGTTGTTGATGTGCAAAATGAATGTTGCTGACTAAATTCTTGAGCTGAGAAGGAGCCAAACGGCAGCCTGAGGGGGTCTTGCAGCCAAGACTAGAAGCTTTTCTCACTGGCTGGTGGCAGTTGTCAGTTCTACATGGTGTTGAAGACAAGTATCGGCTGCTGTAGGGTGGAACAAATCAGATTAAAAGATGGCAATGGGAAGTAGGTGCTAGGAAAAGTCTGAGGTTTTTGGAATCGGTTTGGAAAAAACTCTTACCATAGGTTTTACATTTGTAAGTGTGCAAAATGGAGAAGGGCTTCCAGAATGCATGTGGGAAGAGGGACTGTGTCAGGAATATGTTGTAAAGACAGAAAAATGATGCATTTGTGAATTCTGAAACCAAACTGTTTTCAGTGTGATGCAAAATTTTTAGTGTGAAGAGTGACTTCAGGTCCCAAGCTGGTTTTATTAGTTGTACAGTGTCATAGTAAGAAGTAAAGATAGATAGATAGATAGATTGATTGATTGCTTGATTGATTTTGATGGAAAATAGCTTTGTTTGATAGTAGCTCCTGGTTCATCCCCATGTGCGGCATCCGAAATCTCTCAAATCATGAAGATAAGCTATGTTCGCTTCTGTGATTCTACTTACAGTGAAAGACAAGGGAGGATGACTTGAGGAGCCCTTCTTTCAGGGGATGGATGAAAAGGCTAAGAGATTTTCTGATTTAACTTCTAGAATAATTGTCTCCTATTTGTATCGCTGTGACCTGTTTCCTTTTCTGTAGTTTAGCCAGTTCTGGGAAGATACAAAAAACTTCATAGTTGTTGAAGTTCTACATAAGACATTTATTTCTCCCTTCTGCATATAATCATAAATTACGTAGGTTACGTCAATATTGTATCTGAATCTGATTTTCCTGCACATTTTCTGGAGCTACTAAATGAACAGTTTAGTTTTTGAGCTGATGACATTGTGCATCTAGATAGTTTATTTTCTGGTGGTGGTGGTTTGTTTCTTCTAGAAATCCATTTCCAGCTTGGAATCCATTTAGAAATAGTTAAGAGAATAGTCAAGGGACAAAAAATGTTGTTTAAGAAATGTCTCCTATTCCAGAGTATACTTAGTGATACAACTTGACATTTTTCTGGCATGTTTCTATTTCTAGTCTGACTACAAATCTGGTTTAACAAAAGGGGGCCAAATATCTTCTTTAAGAATATCCTCAGTGGACTGTAATAAATTGCCTGGGAATGTAATTCCAAGCTCAAAGGTCAGAGTATGTGGTTCAGGTCAGGAAACCTTCTGCTTTTCCTGCTCCTTCTTGATCGAGGTCTACAGGCGCTCCAAAGAGAATAATTTGATTTTGTAGGATTTATAAACAGGTCTGTTTTCATTAGAAGCTATGTTTGACAAATGTCTTATGCTGTTACTATTCATTATGCCTGTCTAATCAGCACTGTGTATCTACAGTAAATTCTAAGACAGTAAGAGAGCTTCATCAGAAGAATATTCTGTCTGTTCAGAGTCAATCATATTTACATTCCTGTGATTCGGTTCAGGTCTTTTGTGCAAGGGTTTTTTGCGCTAGCATGACTAACAGCACAATATGGTCTTTTAGCCTTGCACATAAATTTAAAAAACTGTTTCTCTTTCTTTTAACTGATGAACTCTTATTCAGCTGGCAGGCATTTGTTCTGGATACAGAGAAGAGATGCACACTTACTATTTATTCTAAAGTCTTTACTACATTGTCTACTTAAGGAGAACGAGTGAACAATTTGAGAACTGCAGGACACTTCAATTACATTTATGAGTATATAAACTAATTTCTCTTTAAAACGCCCCGGGAGTAATGTCATATGTTTGATTGCACTGTTGTGATACCTCTCTCTACTGCTCTATGAAAAAGACAGTAAAATAATTTTTTTCTAACTGTTCTTTTTTGTTGACTTGTTTATGCTATTTGAATATTGGTGCCTCCTTAAATTGAACAAATATTCAGTGGATTTTTAATGCTTTAAGTCTAGCTATTTTTTCTTAACTTTTCAGCCTTTTTCCATACCTGGCATTTAAGTATTTCTAACAAGAAAATGAGATGCACTTAGAAGTTCTATTCATAGGTAAATTACACTCTCACACATAAGCTTTAATAAACGTGTGCACATCTTGTATTTGCACTTAGGTTTAAAGAAGCAGCCAGAATCGGTTGAAAGTACCTCAGAAGATGAAGATGAAGTTGAAAAACACAAGGTAAAGTGGTTTAAAATGTTAAGAATTACAGATGTTGCATTGCCTGAATTCTGCAACTATTTATGTTATGTGTTTGTGAGTCGTAGAATAAAACTGTATAATGTTAATAGCGAGAGCTTTTGGAACGAAAACTACCCAAGAAGAATGGTCGATGGTCCATGCCTTGATGTGTTAAGATTTTGCCAGGATATCTTTCTGGAAGATTATACTTGAACACAGCTCAGAAGGGTTAGGTAACACCGAAATGTAAGGGCACAGAAGCCATACCAGTTGAGCTGACAGTCCCTCTAGCTTTAAAGCTATCCCAGTATGTTTGCCTGTTGGGCGGTGCTGGATATTGACTTGTAACATCAGCATTGTATGAAAAACATCTGTGTATTCAACTTTGTCCTGTAGACTTTTATCTTTGAAGATCGAATTGTTTGCTATTGCATGTTTGCTTTTCATTCTTTCTCAGAACAAGTTACCTAAATAAATTTATTAAATTCATATATGTTTATTTCTATTTTGTTATATAAATAGCAATATAAAATTGTATAATAGCTTGCTAGTATATTTGAAAGTTGAATGTGGGCATTTGCATTTATTTTATATATAATAGAAAGGAAATCAATGATTGTATTTAATATTACACCTCAAAATGTTAAAAGAACGTTTTTATGGATGAAATAATACTGCCCTGACAAGTCTATTTCAACTCATTTATATGTATGTAGACTCATACATAGTTTATTAACAAGATGCTATATTTTTCATAGAAAACTTAATTTCATTGTGCACATGGACTTTCTTATTTTGTAGCAGGCTGAAATGGCCCTACTTATGATGGATGATGAGGATGACACCAGAAAACATTTTAATTATAAGAAGATTGTAGAACAACAGAATTTGAGCAAGAAGAAAAAGAAACTTTTAATGAAAAAGAAAGAATTACTAGAAGATGACTTCCAGGTAATGATGTACTTCTGATTTTGAGGCTCAGCTAGAACCTTTGTTAATATCAATTCTTTTCAGGACAGATTTAGTGCTTTCATATCCTTCTCCTCCCTTACTCCATCTGAAGGAGAAGAACTAGGTCTACCTTTTTAGGGAGCTACAGACTGTTTTCAAAAAGCAAGAAATATTCTGATACAGTGTTGAAGGGGGCAGACTCAAACTCTGTGTAAGATAACAAGACAGTGTTTGTGCAAGGGCTTATACAACTCATTGCCTAAAATACTCATTGGTATGTTTGTTCTCGTTGATATCCACTGCTGCTTTTGTCCTCGTCAGTTCTCAACAACAAACCTTTCCTTGGTCTGCCACTAAAGGCATCTACAGGATTTGTACGAGCATTCACTTGTCTGTTTTACCAATAGTATCTTCAGTCTCTCTACCTCACAGTCACTAGGATTTTGAGACTGGAGCAGTCCCAGGAATGGTGAACAACCTCATGAGCTATGACTCCTTCAGCAGCTCATATTTTATTGTGTTTAAAAGCTTTGCTATCGTGGGTAAAGGTTCCCTAAAAGAAACACTCCTTTTCTGCCTTCAGGTAAATGTTGCCGATACAAGATTCCAAGCCATGTTTACTTCTCCCCTGTTTAATTTGGATCCTTCAGATCCAAATTTCAAGAAGACAAAAGCAGTAGAAAAGATCTTAGAAGAGAAAGCTCGCCGAAGAGAAGAAAAGGAGCAAGATCTTAAGGAGGCAAGCAAGGCGCAGGAGAACAAGATGGCAAAGAAAGGAGAGGTTGCTAAGAAAGCCATAGATCCTGCCTTATCAATGCTAATAAAATCTGTCAAAAATAAAACAGAAGAGTTTCAGGCAAGGAAAAAGCAGAAATTCAAATAACTGAGCTTTGTTTTTACTCAGACTTTACTTTAGTCTTAGTTCTTCTAACTGGCAACATCTATTAAAGTTACTGTTGCCTGGTCTGAAAGTTTCCTGAAAAGTCACTTAAATATGATGGTGAGTTTTGAAGTAATTGAATTAATAATCACTCTTCTGCCACAAGAAATACTGTTTTGTACTATTACTGAAAATCTACACCTTGAAAACATGTTATGTAAGGAATTGATGGTTTTGGGGTGGTTTGTTTTGTATCATTCCGTGTCTTAATAATAGATAACAGAAGTGCTGAAGATGGCTATGAAAAGTAGTCATAATTATGGTTGTATTTATAAATAAGAAAAACACTTCTGGACACGTTTATTGCTGAGACTAAGCGGTCTGAATGTTTTTAATTCCACAGGAGTCTGTAAAGCATATCTCTGTTGATAAAGAAGGTAGTTATATAACTAAAAAATTGAAGAAATTTTGTATGTGGGTTTTTTGTATATTTTTAAAAGATTACATATGCTTCACTAATTTCTCCTTTTGAATACTTGAAGACTTCCTGGATAATAGAACTAATTAATGGAAATACTGTCATTTAGAAGTGTTTCAAGAATATATATTGGAAATAAATGGTTTAAATTAGCCTGAAGGTGTTTTGGGCACTTAGCTGTGTTTTTTTTTTTCTTCTGTGCCTAAAGGAAATTATATAAAAATTAAACTTTTTGCTATAAATATTGCATTCCCATTAATATAGTTACTCTTGTACAAAGTCTTCCAGCATTGCAAGTGTTAAAAAGGAAGAAGGAAAAAAGATCATCAAATCTAGATGATATAATTTTAGAAAGCCTGGTATTTATCTATGTTAGTATTAGTGTTGGTGATGAAGGTATCAATGGTGCAGGGCAAATACAGTACGTAGAAAAAGATCTTTCTTCCCTGGAGTATGGGGATTTATTTGCCTGAAGTTTCGGTTTGATGGGTTTTTTTTGAAGTGTTTGCTGTATCAGCTGTAATGGAAATACAACATTGTACCAAAAAAGAATTAAAATTTTAGAAACAAGGAGCTGAAAGGTAATTTGTAATTTTAAAGAAGCATTGTTAATTTCTAAGACATTCGACTAATTTAAACAAAGAAATCTATTAAAAGAGGTTAGAAACTGTATATAATCAAAGCTAGTGTTTATGTGAAGTAAATATATCTTAATATGTAAAGGAGATTACAGAGTCAGATTTAGCACATGAGAGGCTGTATACCTAATGGCCAAAATGGGCAAAGTAATTAAGGGACCCAATATAGAAATACAAGTGGACTTGGGTTTTGCAAGAGTGCCTTGCAATGATGTGCCTGAAGACTACTTGCAGACCTTGAACATTTTAAATGTAATTGCTCTCATAAACGTTTAAACATCTTCAGATTCATTCTCAAGTAGCTAATGGGAAAAGTTGAGGAGATACTACAGTCTTTTGTACGTAACTTCGATCCAGCTTCTGTGGCTTCTCAGCCTTTCAAGCAATAGGGCAGGACCCAACAAACCCATGTTTTGTAGTTTGAACTGACCAACTGTGATGGAGAACACAGAAAAACTTGTGCTGCTGGAAGTAGCAGGAAGCTTCTGAACACGGGTGTACAGTGGAGAACAGCATAATGATATTGAGCAAGAGACAAAATCTATAAAGAGAGAGGAAAGAAAGATGCTTTGGGAAACAGAATTTTCCACCGAGAAGCATCCCTGCATCAAACAGGAGAGCCAATTGTTACTACTTCAGAAAATGTTAAGTGTCATACAAAAGTATAAAAGTGTACACATATGCATCTGATGTAGACAGTGGATAAGAAGACAAGCTCCTCCCATAATAAAAGATCATATTAATTTTATAATAAAATTTGCAGCATGGAAAACTAAGTAGTTGTCTTCGATGCAATTTCTTAAGACTGGCACATGATACGATTTCCAGGCACAAAGTAGTGACACCAAGCTGAAAGGGTAGAATTTAGATGTACCATGTATTTGTACAGATTTTTTTTCTAAGTGTGATTCATTATATAGCTTATAGATTGTAGGCATATGAAATGCACTAGAGACAGTAGCTTGAATTGCGATCTAGAGATTGGATATACTAATGTTAGTGGTGATGGAAGGGCAAGCATTCGTGTATGAAGTGTGTGGAAAATTGGACAGCTGAGAACAAAAGCAAAATGTCTGAACAGAAACGTAAGTCAAATGAAGAGTCCACCTAGCCCAGTGTCTGGTCTCTGTCAGTGGCCAGTAAGAGAAGATACTAATGGTGCACTGACAATACTACACCTTGTCAATGGGGAAGCAAATAAGTTTGTAATTGTTTTAGCTGTTTCTTTGAGAAATAGAGCTTGGGTAGGATGAATTGTTGTAGGTACTTATTTTGTAAAAGCACCCTTTTATAGCTGTCGGAACAAGAAGAGAGTATCATTCTGTGTTGGTGCACTCACATAATTCTGTTTTAATACCGGGTTCATACACAGTCTCCCAGAAATTTCTTTAAATATTTGTATGGAAAAGCAAATTTGGTGGGGGATAAAAGGCAACAAACTGCACTGTCTCTTGAATCCTCTAACTCTGCCAATTTCTACCAAATACTTCTGTTTTGATGCATTTGATGTGTGTGCTCATTTGTGTACTAGCAGTAGGCAGAGCCTGCTGTGTTTGACTTCCTGACAGTAGTTGAGTAAAGTCCCTTACTTCATCAGTGCTTTTGCTTAGGGCTTAGTGCTTTTAAAACTTTACAGGAAAACAATGCGTGGCATCGGTGAATCTCCTGAACGCCCAAATGTGCTGAATGACTCACTGGTACAAAACTCTCCAACAAAACTTCTGTACCTCTGCAGTGTATCTGTCCTTTACAGTAACTTTGCTGGAGGACTAGTTCAAAAAAAATGGTTGTAAAATTAGAAAGTTACAAATAGTGATGACTTCTTATTGAAATTAGATGGTCTAAGTTACGTTGTGTCTTTTCTTCACCTACCTGTGCTGGCTACCTTCTTTCTTCCAGTGAGGAAGTCTAGCCTGTACTTGAGAGTCATAGCAAGACAAAATGCACAAGAATATGAAGACAGACCTGACAGTGATTTTAACTATTGACTGAAAAAATTATTTTGCTGTGTAGTAATGTATGTTGGGTATCATATGAATGCTTCATGTATGATAATTTGATCAGATGTTCTTTGTTGTTGTTTTTGTTTTTGTTCTCCAGTTGCCAAGTCCTGAGGGGGGCATCTTGCTTGGGAAGAAGTGCAGGATCTATCCCAGCATACACCTTAGATGGGAAATCTTTTGTCTGCTTATAAAATTACCAGGTCTAAATCCTCCTCCCCTTTTTATAAAATCAAGTTATTAATTACTGATTACTAGTGCCTCAAAGCCCATCATTCATAATTCCAGCATAACGCTAACAAAATCAGAAGTGATTTCTTTCCATGTTTTCAGCAGAAGCATATGTGAGAGATCTGGTAAGAAGTGGTCATGTCTCATCTAGAATTCTTTGCAATTCATTACCCATGGTGCAAACAAAACAAAGGATGCTTCTGACGATCTCATCCTTTTAAACATGAACATAGCATCTAGAAGTTCTAACCTCTGAACTTTAAAATGTGATTTTATTTTTCCCTTTCACTAAATGTCATGTAACCAGCAAAAGCGATGCCAATTAGGTAAAATAACACATTAAAAAACAGGACTGTTAAAAGTGAGACAGAACTAATTTTTCTAGCAACTTACGGAGGTCTGGTATAAAGTAGTTTGTCTCCAAGTTGGCAGCCATCAGAGCTCATGCTAGAGTGCAAGCCAGACATTTAAAGACATTTAAAGATCTAATATTACGAGTGGAAATCACAGGAGGGTTTGATTTATTTAAAAACTAAGAAAGATCAGACAAGAGATGAAGAGCCATGTATGTTTTCTATTATTCCTTCCTCCTAAAAATTAAAATGTATTCTTTCCAATTAATAGCAAGTTGGCTTTTTGTTCTTTTCATATTTCAGTAGTGTCCAAAAATAACAAATCAACCAAACAAAATACTGTGGTTTTTTTTTTTTAAATTAAGTCTCAGAAACTTATGTATATGTTTAAAACTACTAGAGTAATTAAGTTGTTTTGCATTTGTATTAAATCAGGATTTAAATTCCTCAACCTCAGTTTTGTAGCTATGATAAGAACAACAAAGGTAGTAGTTCTGAGTTTTTCTTTACTTCATAGAGTACTTTAAAAAACTGCAATCTTCTGAATATAAAAATGTACCTTTTCGTGCACAGGACTATGTTACTCTATTCCTGTAAAAAATCAAGACAAGATGGCAGAAAGTTCTATTGTCTTGTGCATTTTTCTGTGCTTGACATATGGTGTTATAAATGGGAATATTTTTGTCTAGGCTCTGGATCCAATCTAGATGAATGTCACTTAAGGTCATCATTACTTTATATCCTCCTCATCACTAGCATATGAGTAATCCCTGCTCAGTACTGTTCCAGCTCTGTATTTCAGCCATGTGAGACTATGCAACTTTAAAACAACGTTGCTTCTAGCCTCCAGTGAGTGCCCTGGCAAACCTCGCTCCTGTCCCATTCTCACAGACACCTGATCCAAAGGCTGGTTGCCACATTTTCATGGGCAAATGCTCTTGGACTGAGTACCGTGCGCTCCTCGGCACTGCACAAATCCCTTGGCTTTGCACTGAAATCCTGCCCAGTGCACTTGGATCTTTCTCCTTTTATATTTCTGGGGCAAGGAAGGAGGGAAAGGACAATTGAGGCAGATAGCATTTGTATTGACTTCCGACAGCGTAAGTCAAAGATTGGCAGTCCATGGAAAATCTAAGTCTTAACAGTAGTGGTTACCAAAAGGACTAAGAATAGCAAAGTGACTGTTTTAGGATGGCTGTGATTTCTACAAGTGATTAAGAGTTAAAATCAATTCTGTGGAGTGCAAAACCCCTAAGCATAAGCTTCTTCCCATCCTCATTCTCCCATCTCCTTTTCCTGTTAGGCCCAGGCA